AATACATGAAACAGTTTCATTAATTTTAGAGAAATACATGAAACAGTTGCATTAAGTAGTATATGAAACAATTTCATAACCATATATGAAACAACTTCATCAAAAAAAATATTATATGAAACAATTTCACAAGATTAAACAATTTCATGAAAAAATTTCATAAGATTAAACAATAAAATCGACGAATGAGTAGTTTTTACGGTTTTTACAAATTAGAGTGGTTTTCATTTAATCGCTCCTTTATATATATATATATCTTTCATATACCAAACTTTCTTCCGAATGATGTCAACTTTTTCATGAAAGCAGAGGTTTATACTTGCCAGTTACAATGACATATTTGCGTACATCTCATCCTTTTCCTACACTATCTTGGAGTAAAATATACCCAATTAATTTGTTTTTTTTCAATTCTCATATCAACCATTTGGACTCACAATTGCATCATCATTTATCACTTTATCAAGTACACAAACCCTTGAAAACAAAACCTACATTTCTTTCTTGTCATATGTTTACAGGCTCAGGAACAGTTAAACCCACAGGTGTGGTTATGCCCCTTCGGTTTCAAACCAATGTAATCGAGTAGAAGTTATCAAAATTACCCACAGATAACATTGTTTACAAAAATACATGAAGCTAACTCGGTTCCATTTCAGCTGTTATGAGGAGTGGAAGCCAGTATCATGATGTTAGAAACCACAACCAGCCAATGCACCCCCAAGATTCAATATATGAAGATTTCTTTGGCACTAAGGAGTTTCCTTCCAAAATCTTATTGACCGATCTGTACCACATGACGCAAATGCTGCCTCTGTAGGTGAGTGTTCGAGCCACCTGGGTGCACCCGCATGGTTAGACGGCCATCTTGCCACTTTTTCAGCACTCAGAGCATCCCAGATCACAATCTGTGCATCACCAAGTTAACATCAGTTAAAAAGTACCATTAAACCATCAAATACAATCATACCACCAAAGGGTCATTGGCTTAGCAGTATTCGGATTACCAGTAGATACCAAGGTTCAAACAGTGTGTGTGAGTTTTGCCGTATATAAATACTATATGCTTCCAAAAAAAAGTACAATCATACAACTGGACAACTACACCTGACCTCATTGCTAGGTTCATCCACGCATAATACAAATTCTTCTGTATCGTTGAAAATAGCCTGCAGGAATATAGAAGGCTTAGTTCTTGGAGCTCTGGCAGAAAGAATTCATGGCAAAAATGGATATATATATATATATATATATATATATATATAGGGTCAGGTTCAGGGGAAAACCGCAAAATAATGAAAATTTGAGGAACATCCGAGTACCATTCATTTTGTACGGTATACACGTGTGAATACAAGTAATTTGTCCAATATGCACACGTGCATAGAAACCAAGAAACAACTTTAATTATTTGTATGCACATGTGTAGATGAACGGTTATCAAAGTGTTCCTCATTTTTTTCAGTTGTTTAGAGGTATTCCCCTGAACCTCCCCCTATACATATAGCGACAAATATAACCGAACACATAATTTATAAAAATGTCTAGCCACTTTTGACTTTTGAGGCATTTTCACAAAGCTTACTAAGCATGAAGTTGTTGGTTCATTACGTTTGTGAAACAAAGAATAGTTTTGCCAAAAAGAAAGCAAAACAGAACAGCTGTTCTACCCTTTGACGGTAGAGGTCAGGTCTGTGTACATCCCCCGAACCCACCTCCGAGTGGGATATACAGAGCTCGTTTTGTTTGATTTATCTTGGGTATTTTGTCTAGAATCATTGGTTCTTGGAAAATGTGGATATACCGAGTACGATGTTTCATTAAGTCCTATCATTCGTTCATCATACCTGGCAACGCAGTTGTGTGTGTGTGGCTCCAAGATAGTGCTTGACCAATCTTCCCGTTCCAACTTCCCATAGCTTCACGGAAGAATCCTTCCCACACGAGAGAACGTATCTGAACGATGAAAACAGTGGTCATAAAGTAAATACAGCAGATTGCCATAAATAGGAAGTACGAAGATGATGTAATTCAATAGACCCTTCTACAAAGCTAATAACATAAAGAAACTCCATATGGCCTCACATTCATCTTTTTTTCCTTTTTTAGAAGCTTACACTTAAAACTGTGAAAAACATGGCCTTCCTCAACCATACCATACTGTTTTGCTTCTTATGGTGTGTTTTTTACGCGGGACAAGATATAGCAAAAACTTGTATTACGTTTGGTGCGACATTAGATTAGGACATGACAAAATGAGACAAAAATGCATCTTCCTTGTCCCACCAAAATAGGTGGAACAAGAATGAGGGAGATGAGACCAAATTGGTAAATTACTAAACTACCCTTGTCAAATTATAACCCTAAAACCTTGGACAATTCTCACCCACCAACCTGGCAACCTCACTCTCGCCTGTCCAGTCCAGTCTATTCCGTCTACATACCAAACGCACCCTCATAAAAGACAATATGCACTAAATATACATACAACACCCCCCCCCAAAGTTAAGGTCGAGGGGGGGATGTGAAAATCTCATGTTCCTTGGATTTGAGTTTAGGCGCCGCCAAATCCCTTGTGACCATTAAGTTTCACCTACAATGACTTCAACTGGCATGGATACCCAATGTTTTACCCAAAAGAATGCATACAATGGTTAAATTATACTCCCTCCATCCCAAAATAAATGTTTACTATGAAAATGGCACACAGTTTTATTGATGTGTAATTATTAGACTCTTGAAATAACTAAATGACATTTTTACCCTTGATAATAAAGAGACTTTCTCCATCTCATAATTAAGGGTAGAATGGGAAAGTGAAAACTTACTTTTTAAAGTGGACATTTATTTTAGGACAAACTAAAATAGAAATGTGGACACTTAATTTGGAACGGATGGAGTACTCAAGAGTGTGCTAAAATACATGGTTACATTATACTCAAAAGTTATCGGTAGATCCCAACCTCCTTGGAATTTAAGGGTTTAAGCCTCACCAAAGATGAAAAGTGTGTATGAGTTTTGCCATATTATACATAAATATATACTTCAAATGGTTAAATTATACACAAAAGTTCGACGATCAAGTTTCAAAACATGTATATATCGTCGAGTTCTGTTTAACTACCTTCATTATAGAAATTGTGTGTGCAGATAAAGAATCCGAATCTGATTTCTCAAACACAACAATCATTGGAAAGCACAAAAAGCAATGTGTACCTTCATTATAGAAATTGTGTGTGCAGATAAAGAATCCGAATCTGATTTCTCAAACACAACAATCATTGGAAAGCACAAAAAGCAATGTGTACCTTTGATCTTTGGTAAATTTTGCACTAGTGGCCTCGGCTGATCCGTGTGCACTAAGTATGGACCGTACAACATTGCTATTCACCCCATCCCATATTCGGATAGCGCCATCTTTAGAGGCTGTTACATACATGCCACCTGTAGATGAATATCTCACCTGCATTACCAATTAATATTTTTTTTTAAATAAAGAAATTGCTTATCGGGTGTCATCGGTTATAAAGAGCATTCATACATGATTTATTGCACCGTTAACACCAATTTCTTGAACATTTGCCGAGAGGTAGCACTGGAAAGTATTGATGTCATACAGATGTGGAACGTGATGATCCGTCCCTGCAGCCCTTTTCCATTCTTGTTAGGAGATGATTCTCGATACATTTTTCAGGAATTTCTTGAACCAACCAAGCGAATCAACTTAAGGTAGCCAAAAGATAGCATAGCCAAATTTAAAGGGCTATTACTGGATCGAAAATAAGATGATGGTTGGTGTCATGTTTTTTAGGGTGCATTTGGTACACTGCACATGGCGGAGCATAACAAGAATCACTGTTCCATGTTTGACATGACTTTTATGTGGAACAGACATGAACAGAGAGGAACAAAGTTGAACAGGCGTGTTCCACCCCCCACCTCATGGACCAAGGTGGAAAAAGGTGGAACAAGCCTATATTTTACCAATATTGGTATATTTTACCAATATACCCTCTTTACATTTTACCCATTCTTTAAATTTTATTTATTGTATTTTATGCTATTTAAACTTTCACTTTACTATCCTCAAAATATTATTTTTATACGGTTTCTATATTTTGGTTAATTTATGCAAGTTATTAGATCTTAATAAAAAGAAGGTAAAAAATAAAAATTGGAAATTACATAGACTTTATATTTCAGTATCATTTTAATCATCTTGACGAAAACTTTTTAATGATATATTTTGTTATAAAAAATATTTATTTTATTATAATTTAATAAATGATATAAATTAATCAAAATATAGAAAAGATATAAACTCGTTAGGGAAAATCGATCATTTTACCAATCCAGTGTTGCCAAACGCTGAATACCACTCTTAGGGGTATTTGGTAAGGCGACAGGACAGGATTGGATGGGCCAGAATGAGGTAGGAGGGTGAAAGAATCATGCAAGGTTTTAGGTTTTAATATGCCATAGGTAATTTAGTAACTTGCCTCTTTGTCCCATATCCTATTTTGGTGCCACTCAATCCTGTCTTGTCCCAGTATAATCTCACACCAAACATGGGACAACTGGTTTTTGTTTTGTCTTGTCCGGTCTCGCATACCAAACACACCCTAACGTACCCCTACCATTTACAAAGAAAAGTAGAGATGCAATACTAGGCAATGGTGGTTATAAATTGATGGTAAACGGTCTGAAATTATAAACATAGAGTATGTATTGAACCTGCCAGAAGAAAATCTCCAGACGGATGGAAAGATACGGACCGAACATTGTGTGTATCCTGTAATTTGAACATCAAGAAAAATAAAGAAAGGATCTTTAGGAAATCTAGACACGTAGTGAACTCAAATCCTACTCGATAACAAGTTTTGCGATGAATACCAATAAGATAAACAAATTAAACCTGGATAACCCTGAATGCTCTCTTTGCGACCGTCTTAGAGAAGTCGAAAAACCTACATGTGGCAATATAATAACATAATTAACTTCTTATCGACTTATATAAAGAAGGATACAAGAACCTATCTATTAGATTAAACAATCGTGGACACGTACTTTATCGTGTGATCTTTTGCCCCAGATATCAAGATAGTATTTTGAGGATGGAAATCAACATCATTTACTGGCTGCAGCAGTATAAGAATCTTTTAGTTAAAGTTATCAACTTCAAAAGTGTATAAAATATTTTTACATCAATGGAGATTTACTTGTAGATGGTCGTAAAATGTCCGTACGACGGGTCTAACAGGACCATCCCTTCCCTCTGGTAGCATCATCTGCTTGATTTTTGCTACCTGTACATGAAAGCAACCTTGTTAGATATGATGGTTCAGATCATCAGATGTACTCCCTCCATCCTAAAATAAGGGGTTGTTTGGTTGGTTTTCCATTAAGTCCTGTATGGATAAAGTTGTCTGTGTGTATTAATCTGTCGATATAGAGTGAGAAGGTTTTTCTTTGGGAGGGATTTTTCATAGATGGAAGAAGCGTGTTTTTAATTGGGAGGGGCAGGTTTGGAAAAAAACTATACTTTGTGAATAAAGCTCCCCCCCTAGAAGCTTGCTAAATAAGCCACTACCAAACAGTCATGTATAGCTGGTCGAATAAGTTGCGAGTTTCATTAAGTTCATCAAGCTACTAACAAATAGGCCCTGAGCATCCATATTTCTATTTTAGTATGTTCAGAATAAATGGCTACTTTCCAATTCTACCCTTAATTATGAGATGAAATTCATTACTCCCTCTTATCGTTTAGGGTAAAATCGTCTTTTAGTTAATTAAAAAGTGTAATTATTACAGATTTCTAAAACTGTGCCTTTTCATTGTGGACATTTATTTTGGGACGGAAGGAGTAAAAAATAGTGGCTCATAGAACAAAGATCATTACCTCAAACAGTTTAATTGAGGTATCCGCACTCCCTGATGCAAGAAACCTTCCATCGGGACTAAATCTTGAACATCTAGCAACATTCTACATGGCATAACACCAAGTTGTAAGTTGCCAAAAAACACAAGCCCTCAATACTATTCAGGAAAGGCACGAGCAAACTTCAAGTTATAATTTCGTATGGATGCATACCTTATGTTCTGAAACATGCCTGGTTTCGTGCTTTGCGAAACTCTTTGAGGAGCCTTTTGTGTCATGTGCAGCACTGTTAACAAGGCATTTGAGATCAAATTTACCTTAAAAGTGGGTCCAAAAATACATGATTACATGCATGATGACAAGAAACTATAGTTACATATGTATATATATTATCCTTCTTTTACAGACCCGAAAATTCATACAAACTTAGAAACCAGTTTTTATGTGTTGTATCATATATGTGAAATTTTCAGGAATGTTATTTTTCCACACACAAAACAGTCCTGAACTCAAATATGAAACAACACTGCATTTTCACACCTGTAGTTTCATATGTGAAACAACACATGAAAACGGGTCTGTAAATTTATACAATTTATTGCGTTTGTAAATTATTATGCGTCGTATCATTATTTCTACTCATTCATGAAAATGATACAATTGGATTGGAAATTACAGTTAAAAACAACTGCCAAATGCTTGTATTCACACCAAATCCACTTCCAAGAGGTGGATAATCTCTCCACTCAGTTTACAATTTTCAATACCCCTCTACTTTACACAGACCACTTATTTATACCTTGACAACTACTTACCCATCTGTGACTACCCAAATTTGTTACAATCTGTTGCACAGTTTACAACTCCCAACTCCACATACAAAAAGACCACTCTACCCTTTTCTTTTTCTGGAGTATGTAAAACGGATACTCTTTGCATCAGAAAGCAAGAAACCATATATAGTTATAACTATCATCTTCAAAGTGAAATGGGACAGGTGTGCACAGAGCGAAGAACATTGGGTTTAAGAAATAGATTACCTAAAATCTACAGAAACAGCACGGGAAGCTGGTATCGAGCCATATGTCGCAGGTAATGCTGTGCTTGAATCAAACAATGTTGATGAAGATACTCCTCTCAATGTGTCATCTTTATCCACTGCAAGACCCTGTTTACTTTTCAGACCCATCATTCTATTTCTTTTTATTCACTGGTGTTTACTCTAACCACTGTTTTGGTCGTCATTAAAGAACCCTTAGGGTGCGTTTGGTACACTGAACAGTACACTACTACTCAAAAAAACTTATTGTCTGGCATTTAGTGCGACAATTAGACTGGGACTAGACAACACTAAGGGGCTGTTTGGTTGGTTTTCCATCAAGTCCTGAATAGATACAGTTGTCTGTGTGGATTAATCTGTCCGCATAGATTGGGAAGGTTATTGTTTGGAAGGGATTTTTATATGAAAGGAGCATGTTTTTTAATTTGGAGGGGAAAGTCTGAAAAAACTTGGCTTTCGGCATAAAGCTCCCCCTCGAAGCTTAATGAACAAGACACTTTCTATCATTAAACCACTACCAAACAGTCATGTATAGCTGACCAAATAAGTTGTGAGTCCTATTAAGCTCATTAAGCTGCTAACAAATAGCCCTGGGACAAAAATGCATTTATGTCCTGTCTCACCAAAATAGGTGGAACAAATATAAGGGAGACGGGACAAGTTTGGTAAATTACTAAACTATCCATGTCAGATTAAAACCCTAAAGCCTTCCACAATTCTTTGTCCATATCATGTCCAGTCCAGTCCCGTCCGAGTACCAAACGCACCCTTAGAAAGAGGGAAAAAAAAAACAAACCTTGGCGACCAGTTCAAGAAGCTTGTTTGGAGAAGCTTCAATGTTAAGTGGTGTCATTGTAGCTGAAGCGACTGCACTTGCTGCCTAGAAAGATGCAAGTCATGCAAATTGAAAAGAATCAGCAATGAGACCTAGCCTGCTCCATTCACTACTGCAACAATGTATGACAATTATCTCATGGATTCACAATTTTGTTTTCAATTGTTCCAAAATCTGTTTTTAAACATCATTTGCAATCTTCCCTGCTCCATCGGCATCAAAGTTTTAAATGGCATGGGGTGTGGTAAGTCTCAAACATTAGGAGCTGCAGCAAGGCCACGAGTTCCTCAAGGTGCGCTTAAGCCAGAAAGTCTGTATATCATATATATATATATATACACACACACACACTATATTATAAAGCATTTGACAAAAAACTCTTGAAAACCATTTTTTATGAATCAAGTACTGTTTATTGATACATATTACTTAAAATTCAAGATTACAAGTAAATTATCCGTAAGTACAACTTAATAAAACTCCATTTAAAATTTGTGTAACTAACTGCAAATAAACATAATCAAATACATGATAAACATCT